GTTCTGGACCCTGGAGGTGTAGCACCTTGTCTTGGGCTAACAAGTGGTATGCTTAGGATCCTGTAATATGGAACTATGTAAAGCAGCCAAAAACAGGTATCACATTTTTGGGTCTAGGTAGGGTCATTGAATTTGGGATTTTGGCTCAGTGCTAGGCGGACAACAGACACCCGAGCCGCCGCCGTGGCAATGAGAGACAGGGCCTCAGTGATTCAGCTAGACTGTCTTGATTTGTCAAATTTAGGGTTGTGTGATTGAGCGAGAACTCTCTGAAATACCAGATGGTATGAGCAGAGCTTTTAAGTTTAGAGTCAGTTGTTGGGCTAGAGTTGCAGGGTTTATAGGCTACTTAAGCTTGGGCTTCGGATGCAGGAGCCCCGATCTTGCACCTTCAACCCATCAGTTTGGCTAAGATTTGCGCAAAGGAGCTTCAGGTTTCAGGGCTTAGGCTTAGCGTCTCGCGCTTGACGCCTTTACCTTTACCTTTACCCGGCTTCACAGAGACTTGGATGCTCAATATGCTCAGGTTTCGAGGTGTCCCAAACACTTTGCCACTCCGCATTGCCTTGCGTTGTAATACAGGGGTCTTAAATTATTAGAATAGCGGTTTTGGAGCCCCCAACAGTGTACAGGTAATCATTGAGGCCCCTATATTACCTTCGACGAAGAGGGCAGCCTCGACTTTGTGTGTCCGCAAGTCCGCAAAGAAATTCGAAACTCTCTGCATCCGTAATCCCTACACCTCAAACCCTACGCTCTCCGCGGCCCTAGTTAGTAAGTTACTGACATCGGTATAGCCTGCCAAGACAGCCGCAGATTCGCACAAACATGTTTGGAATTTATTTCAGCGCCGGGAGATTTGGGTCGACGCAACATCTTGGCGTCTCTTGACAGTCGATGTACTTGAAAGTCTGACCGCAGCCTAGACATCATGTGGACGGTTGCAGCAGAACGGTAGGGTTTTCATATACGGCCATGAGCGCCCGCATCAGAAGACGAACGACAATCATCACCACAGTGATCTAGGCCAGGAATCTGTGTCTTGTACAGCGCATGGGAGCAGTTTTCGCAACAATGGCAGAGAGTAGCAGAAGTTGCATCAAAGCTGACATCGTTTTATGTGTACGGCATGATACCGGTGTGTACCAACTGATGTTAAACACAGTACCACAGCAGTATAACAGTCAAGCTTAGACTCGTGATCGCAACGCAGACAGCAGCTCTCGATAGCAATAGATGACGGTGCTGCAGCCAATCAGTGCGAGAAAGTCACACATAGTAAATACAGAACCCTCGTAGAAACCTTATGGAGCCCTCTAGAACCTGAATCGAGAACCCCCCGTTGTTACCCCAGGTCCCGGGACTTTACGCCAGTGTTGTGGATGCACAACTTTCCTTGTCGACACCTTCGAACCGAATGAGAGCTTAGTGTTTAGGGTTTGGGGTCTGGGTTGTTTTGGTTTTGAGGAGGAGTACTGAAAAAGTCTCGTGCTCATGAAAGCTAAGCGGTGCCTCCTAAACTCCCTCGCGACCTCATCCTGATACTTCGACATGTTTCGTCCAGGGGAAGAAAAGGGGAGGAAAAAAAGGCGCGGGCAACGTGGCCGCGAAGCAAAAGGCTTTGCAGGCCAGCTGTCTTAGAAGGCTTTGTCCACAAGCGCGTAAACCTAAATTTTATACCGAACCCCCAACTTGGTTGTTGAGTTTCCCGCCTAGCGCTAAGATCCCCCCAAATCCGCTCACATCTGACGAACTAGGCGTTGGGTCTCAGGGTTCATACGATTCGGGACCTAGAGTTGCTGGTTTACTGGGTCCTTGTCAGGGGGCTTAAACACCATCATAAGAAACAAAGGAACCACATTATCGGTTCAATCGATGAATCAGTGCCTGGGGGCTTTGGGGGCCTCATCCTCCATCATGGGGCCCTTAGAGGGGTAGAGGCGAGGGGGGGTAGGGACTCTACTTCTTTAAATAGGCCTCATATTAGGTCCTTATGATGAGCATTATTAAGGCCCGCTGCCCCTCGTCCCCCTACCCCCCTTTAAGGGTCCCTATGATTTCGGGGCCTCATCTTCCAGCTCGAAAGTTTCTTGGCTCCTCAGCCTCGCTTTGGCGTTTGCAGGGCTCGGCCCGGGTAAACTCTCATCCATCTTCGGTTATGAAACTTAATTACTAGCCTTACCATGACTATTTTTACAAACACTATTACTAGTACTGTCGTCTTACTACTTACTCTTACTCTATCTATTTCTCTTACTTTTATTACTGTTATGATTGTTAGTATGATGTTTAGTACTTGTATTTCTCCGAGTATTGTTGTTATTGTTATTCTTCTTGTCACGATTCACGCTACTAGTAATGTTTTACGTATTGTTCTTCTTTTTAATCAGCAGTATAGTCGCATTATCATCATTATTGTTAGGTATACTGGCATTCTTTTAGTAAATTCTTATTCTTGTTATTACTGCTACTATTACCATAAGGATCCGACCCCTGGCCTCGAAGAGCACAAGCAAGGAACCACCTTTAAAGACTCTCAAAGCGTCAACAAGCAAATCATAGTAATAGTAGACTATAGGCTTTCTTGAAGGGGTTCCACTAAGGGTTCAGGGCATAGGGTTTGGGTTTCTTTAAGGCTGCCACTAAGGGTTTGGAGTTTAGGGTTTGAGGGTTCCTATAAGAAGAACCCGAAGCCAAACGTGCTTAGATCTTGTGTGGGACTTAGCCATTCTTCCCAAGTTGCTTAAAGTCCCTGGAGGCCATAAACCCTCAAAGTCCTAAACACCTCAAGCCCCATAAGCCGTAAAACTCTAAAGCCTCAAAGCCCTAAGCTTGCCACACCTGCACACCCAAATCACGAAATCCCGTGGCATGGCCTGACACCTTGAAGGCCATAAACCCATAAACCTTACAAAGCAAAAAAATCCCCCAAACTCCCAGAACGCTAAACCTGTATGGTAGCAATAATAGAGCCCTCGTAGTACCCATAAGCCGTTATGGTAACCCTTTTGTAGAGTCCTTATAGCATCCATTTTCGTAAGCCTTAGAGGAAGGAACCGCTACAGCAGGCTCTGCAGAGCCTCGAGATGGCCCAGAAACAGGAGCAAGACGCGGCAGCTGCCAAGAAGGCTTGCGGTTCAGGGTATAAGGAAAACGTGGTAGCGGGTTAGGGTTGAGGGTTTAAGTATGCTTAGGTGATAGGGCGTTCGGGCTTAGGGGTTCTAGGGTTTGGGGTTTAGTAACATTGGAAGGGCTTGTGGGCTTTACGGCATGAAGCTTGTCGTAAAGGCCTAGGGTGTAGGATTGGAGTTTCGAGGCACCCTGAGCCTAAATCCCGACTATACGAGGTATTCCAAACCCTGGGTCACTACCGATAATCGGTGCTATGCGAGGCATCAGCAGCCAAGAGACGTACCCCCCCCCCCCCCCCCGCACAATTCACAACAACATAGAAACCTTTGAGTGTTGATCAAAGATCCCTGGTGGAAAAGCTTCGAAAGGCAATAGTCGGAAGAGTCACGAGCAGTTTCCCCTCATTGGCCCTGTTTGTTTGATCTTCCACACCCCCGAACCCCCGGTCGACCCCAACTAAGACCCATATGAAACCCTAGTCCCTTCTTGTCTTAAACCTGGACAGCCAGGAGGCTCGTCAAAAGAAGAACGGGCGCGATGCGGCTCCGGTGGCTCTGCACATGTAAGCAAGTTTCGGGCTTTGGGGTCTGGCTTTAGAGCGTGGCGGCTTAAGATGATCACTTGAACATGAGGATCTAGAAAGAAACTCCCAAACACACCTTGCCTCCTGGATTTACCTTCAATGCCCTTCAGCCCAGAATCCAAAGCCCTGCCTAAATTCCACATTCTTAACCCGGCTTCTTAGGCTCTAAACATCTCTATGGCCAAGGCCTGAACTTCACAAGACTGCCAGGAGGGCAACGTTCTTGAGCGCAAAATCCCGAAACCCTCGGTCCAAAATAGCCAAGAGTTGCAGAATATGATCCCCCTCATCCCCTTCGGGGAAACGATTAACGTTCTCGACGGTGTTGGAGATGGCTTTTGGTCAGGTAAGTAGCCTTCGCAGGCCTTAACCCAAGCAGAATGGCAGGATGGTTTAGTACTAGATCTCTCTTGAACCGCGAGCCTTAAACCGTAAACCTCGCCACATTCATCGAGGCATTTTCTGCCGAAATCCTATCTTGGGTCGGAAGAGGTTTGACATTCGGAGACTACAGTTTCTGATACGAGGCATGACGATAACCTTGCCCCTTTCTTAGGTTCCCTAATTCCTATAACTCCATGAGCCCCCCAGACAGAAGGTTGCTGCAGCTGTCAGCAATGGAAAGAATGGCAAGACGGAGGTGGGCTTGTCGGGTCGGTCCATGCGGTTTAGGGGTCAAGCCGGGGTCAATGTACTTCGGTTCATAGGGGCCTGGGGGTAATTAGAACAAGCTTTAGGGAAATCTTCGAGCATACGTGCATGTATCTGAATAGTGGGGATTGGGCTGTGGGGCTCCAAGATTCGAAGTAACTTTGTGGTTCCATAGATCACAGGCGCTGGCACAGTGACACGCGGTTTAGGGTTTAGGGTGCACGAAGTTTTGTCCTGAATTCAAGGCATTCTGCGCCTACTGAGCCCAAGGCCTGCCAGCCCTAGACCCACCTAAAGCCTGACCACCCTGGACGTGACTCGGCAAACTCTAGGATCGCGAACCCGCATTGTTAAAGCAAGATTCCTTTGTGGTGTTTCTCTTTACAACTTGTCGAGAAAAGGCGAGAACCGAAGTACCAGCATGCCCCGATTACCATGGGTTTAGTGGTTTCGGGTTCAGGGACCGAGGCGACAAACGCATCCCTTCCACGTGGGTGTGGGGCAACCCTTCATTGTTTATGTCATCATAAAACCCCTTGCAGAGCTGCTGCAAGGCAGTATTAGGAACAGATAAAGAGACCACCTGCGTGTTTAAGTATTTTGGTTCAAGCTTTGACCCTCGTTCGTCGGCGCCATGGGTAACGTTTGCTGTGGCGTGAATGCTTCCTTGCGATCTGATCTCCGGGGCCGTCGCCTGGGCAACAAGAGGGTGCACACCGATGGCAAGACCTATGCTCCCTATGGTATGGCACCTTTGCAGGAAACCCCAGGAAACCCTAGATCCGATACTCCCTGGCCCTCAAGCCTGAATTCACTCACTTGATCTCGAACCCTCTAAACTACCATGTGAGCCCAATGTTCAAGTTTGCCACTTCCTCCCATCAGAGTCTAGGAACTCCACTATCAGGGCTTTTGGGCTAAAGCACCACCTTTACTAGAGAAGCGGGCTTATTTGGATGCTAAATCCTCTGCCCCTGATCTCCCAAACCCTAAACCTCCCCAGACCCCAAACTCCTCAACCCAAAACCTAGACCCAACCTTACCCAACGCCCTCTGCGGAAGACCAGATTCCAGGATGTGGGAAGACACTCTAAACCCTACAAGCCCTAAACCCCTAAACCCGTAAACCCTAAATCATTTCAGGTGTCACAGCCAGCAGATCCGCTCAAGGTGCCGGAACGTGGTACAGTAACCTTTGTTTACCGCAGCCTTTAGCAGAACCCTAAAAGGAACCAGCAAAGGAACCCTAAACCCTAAAGCCTGTAAGTGTGAGTCAAAAAGAAAGGAAGCCTCGTAGGAACCGCATGGGAGCCCCCAAACCCCAGCCCTGAAGGTGTCGGAATACACACGCAGCATGGACGGCGGCCTCAAAGAGAAGGTGGATCTCCGCGAGTTCATGACGACGGCGGGTCTCTGCAATGAAGAGGGTTCTGGCTGTGATCTAAGCCTAAGCTAAACGCTGGCTTAGGCCCGAACTCTGCAAGAGAAGCCTTTTTATTACAACTGTACTATAATAGACCCCCCCAAAAACCCTCTTCCATAAAGTCCCTTACGTTACCCCCTCTATGAGCCTCTAAGCCCCAAACCCGAGACCTGAAGCACTGAGCCCCTGAGCCCTTAAGCCCCAAACCTATCCCCCGAAGCGCTCGTGCCCGCATTCTCTTCAAACTTCAGTGTCGCGGGGTTCGAGCTGCACAGGTGGAAGACCAGTCGCAAAGCAACAGCTGCTGTGCAAATGCCGTGGCTGGGGCATATGAGTACATCAACAAGCGTGACTTACTTGGTAATGGAAATGTTCCTTTTACTTGAAGGGTTCCTGTCGCGGATCTATAGGGCTTACGAGTACCCCAAAGCGCAACTTCGTAGTAGTAGCGTAGGTTTTGGGGCGTCAGAGCTTGATGGTTTGGGGTTAGGGGTTTAGTGTTTTCTGAACGTTAATCCCTAAATCCTCATAACCCAGGAGAAGCTATGAAACGTGGCGACTCCATCGACGACATCTCGAGACTGTTTATTTACTACGTTGGCCGCAAGCGGGATCAGCAGCACTTTGGCGAGGAGCCGACAAACCTCTTTAAAAGCAAAACATGGTTTAGGGTTCTAGAGTCTAGAGTCTAGGATGCGAGGGGTTAGGGTACACAGGTTTTAGTAAATATCTTAAACCCTAATCAAACCCTATAAGCTTTACTTTCAGGTCTTTAGGGTTGAAGGATGTTTCAAGCCCACCTCAACCGAGGCGAAGAGTCTGTGTTGGCTTTTCCGTGCATGAAACTGGTGTAGGGGCCTTAGTAGCTACAGTTGTATACTATAGGGGCCGTAGTAACTCCAACAGGGTTTCGGGGAGTTCCCCCCACGGATCAGTATAGATAAGCTCCCACAGCGCCCTACCTAAGAACCCTTGGTAGACCAACCCTTGCTTCGAGGTTGTGCAGTTCTTCGTACCTCCATACCTCCCCAAACGCGGAATCCTAAATCTTTAATCGTGCCTGCGCAGAGAAAGAGCCATTACACTTCAACAAAAATGTCTTTTCTCCTTGAGCCCTAAATCCCTGTACCCTAGTTCCTTTTTGGGGTTCATTTCTAGAACCGTATAAGGTAATCCCCAAACGGAACTACTTTGTGGCCTATGGGTAAGCCTTATACGAGGTAAGCCCTACGTAAAGGATCATGGGACTTAGTAACTAGGGTTATAATTAGGGGCACTATGCTTATAACCCCAATTAAGGTACTTATAACCTTACTGACTAAGTCCCATGATCCTCCAAGTATACGAGGGCTAAGCGAGGACGCGAAGATGGCACCGCAAGACGAAGGGATGACCCTGGGAGGCGCGGTGTTTTTCGAAATCAATTCAGGGTGTATGCCCATAAGGCCCCAAAGTAGTTCCTTTTGGGGATTACCTTATAGGATTCTATATATGAACCCTAAAAAGGAATTACTTTGGGGCCTTAGGGTATGGTTCAGGGGTTTTTGTGGGGCTTTACGGATTTGTAGAGGTGGATATAGGGTTGAGGGCCGAGGGTTTAGGATTAAGGGGTGTTCAGGGTGATGCTTTTCGGGTTGCTACACTTCTCTATAAGGGTCAGAAATGATTTCATGGTGACGGGGGTGCTAGAGAGGCTTGTTGAGCGTTCTATTCAAGCATGGCATGGGTTGTTGTATCAGGCTACTATGCGGAACGAATCTAGGTCTTTTTCCAGGGATTAGGACTTCGAATTTAGGGTTTTGAATCTGGGGGTAGATCCTGGGGATGCAGGGTGCTAATGATAGGCTCCATACGTTATACAGACCCGAAATAGGTTTGGGGCGTTTCGGGGTTAGAGTTTTACATGTACATAGGGTTTAGGAATCATAGATCGATCGTCGATCGATGATGGATCGCATGGGTCCACAGCCAGCTTAGCTCAGCTTGGCGCACTTCAGTATTTACACATATATACACATACACATACATATACATATATATATATATAATATATGTACACACATACGTATGCATATAGTTACGCATACATAAGCATACATTTACATATACATGTACATATCTATGTATATATATACACACATATATATATATATATATGTAGATGCATATGTATATGCATATGTATATACACATGTGTTATGAATGTGTATACCTACATTGTGTGGAATCTGTGGCAGTCTCGACACGAATGTCTCTTGTGAGGTGCCATCACCGCACTGGAGATGAAAGGGGCCTGCCTTGAAAGGACCTTCGGGGGTTCAGGGTTCAGAGGTTTTGTGTGTGTTTCTTGGGCGTTCGGAATTTGAGCTTGAGGTTCTGGTGGTTTGGGGTGGGGTTAACGGTCGGGATCCGGCACTAGCGTGTTGGTGTAGTGTTACGCCATAAGTAGAGCAATAAGACAGATGTGGGATACTTACCCCGTTTGCTAAGCCCGCTGTTCCTCGAAAACAGATCTCTAAACAAGTGTATCTGTATATTTGCCTGTCTGTTTACCTTTCCGTTCTCTATCTAGCTATTTGCTTCTGGGTCGCTGTCTTTCAGTCTGTGTGTCTGTCTGGCCGTCGGTTTGTCTGTCTGTCTGGCTGTCTGTGTGTCTGCCTGCCTGCCTGCCTGTCTATCTGCCTGTGTGTCTCCCTCTCTCGCCAGCTAGCAGCTTTTCGGCTTGCCTTGTCTATCTACCTATAGCTATCTATCTACATCTGTCTATCTACTTACCGACCTACCCATGTACCTATCTATCTGCCTGCTTAGCTTCGCTATCTACTTTTCTTTGTGTCTATATGCTTATGTATACGAGTGCATATGTATACACACACACACGTGTATACACACCTGCTGGCACTTCAACCCCCTTCATACTTACTACCCGACACAAACACTGTTGCAACTCAGCTGGATCTGGGCCTTCACCAAAGCTGCAAACGTACGGAAACGCAGGGAAAGCTCTTCAAGGTCTTGGGGAGGCCGTGTTTCGAAGGGGCGAGGATGAAAAGTGATTGCTAAGCGCTAAAAGGCTGCAAAACCATAAAGGCCGCATGACTTCCAGAAGGAACTTGCCCACAGGGACGCCAAAACTTTGAATCCACAGATTACTAGTACTATTACTAGTACCACTCTTACGATTGCTGGTACTGTTACTATTACCATTACCAGGAACTGGCCCTTTGACCTGGACAAAGTGAACCACAAGCCCGAGCAGTCGTGCTTTGATCAAGCCTTGCGATACAAGATCGCGAGCTCCCGGAAGGCCCCAAGTCCTTTGGGGCCCAAAAAGGGTCTGAGGGCTTTTGGGGTTTAGGGGTTGGGGGGTTTAGGGTGTAGGGTGTAGGGACCCCCAAAATAAGCATAAGCACTTTATGGGGATATCCCTATCTTATTGGGCTTCATGACGAGGGGGTTTATATGGGATATCCTTATCGTAATTTTTGTGCTTATGTGCTTTTTAGGGGGCCCTAAATTCTTCTGTGGGCCTGGAGTGGTTTCATGTTTGGGGCTTATGGTGTAGGGTTTTTTGGGTTCCTTTCCAGTGCTACTCTGGGTTTTAGGGCTTTAATTTAAGGCTTCTTTGTGTAGAGCCTAGTCTAGTATTGTCTAGTCCAGTCTAGTATCGTATCGTATGGCACTGGAGAGTAGAGTATAGCATAGTCTAGGAGAGGGTCGTATCGTATGGTATCGTATAGTAAAGGATAGTATAGTACCAGGCCCTGGGAAGGGACAGACTAGACGGCTCTTGAATCAACTAAGGTCCCTGTGGACCTGGATTGCATGCGCGAGACCCTTTGTTCCGGGCATCCCATTGTCTTTGGGCTGAAGCTCACGGCCCAATTCTTCAGTCCACTGCCCGGAGGGTTCATCCCCACACCGGACCCAAGCGACCCACAGTCTGCGGAGCATGGTCTGCATGCCATGCTCTTGGTAGGCTACAACGATCGCCAGCAGGTGGCCTCGGTTTTTTGGAAGTTGCTTTGACATTCTGTGCTGATAGTTTGTCATGGACAAAGCAAAACCAACCAACAAAAGAAACTATTTCGAACATGTCGAGGTGTTCATTGTGCGAAACAGCTGGGGAACATCTTGGGGTGATCGTGGATATGCATATGTACCATATGACTACATCGCCAACATGGAGTTCAATTTTTTAGACCAGCAACTCAGTCATCCGTTTAGGAAAGCTGTGGTTTGCTGTTGGGCGAAGGGGGTCCAGAAGCCTATGGAGCCTTAATGATCCGAATAAGATTTCGGGGTCGACTTGTCTTTGTCCAAGCATTCAGGGAAGACTGCGCATCTCTCTCCTCCTTAGGAGATCCTAAAACCTTTGTTACACGCAGGACTTAGCAGGGCTTTTCTTCTCATTGGTTGGTTGGCTTGTAAAAGCTTATCGGCTTGTCGGCTGCAGGGCAGTTAGAAAGCCAGCCAAGTTTGCGAGCACAATCCACAAACCCTAAAGCCCTGTATAGCTTTAGCACCAGCAAGCCCTAAGCCCATTACGTCCGCACCGAGCTCCGATCAGTAATCATAATCTTCCCTGAAAGCCCCCTGCCAAATGCCAGTCCAATTATTACTGCAGCTGCGGTCAACTCTAAACCGTCGATCCGAGGTATTGTATCACAGGCTTGACAGACACGGACTTCACACCTGGCGACGATGACGGCAATGATTTCGGATATTCCAAAGAATCGGATGGTTCGGGCCAGCCTGAAACTCGAACTGAGATCATCATGTTGGCCTTTCGAGTTTGCGCCATTTGAGGTTCGCTGGTTGCAGGGCCTTTGAAGGTAAGGCCAAGCTTGTGAGTCATGGCATTACTGCTGACATTGCTTGCACAGCTCCAAGTTAAAACAACCCTTCAAGCATGACTGTCTCTTAATGGGAGGAGAGATGTTTTTCATGAAGTCCTCATGCAGGAAGAACCTCTAAGACCCTGAAAGTTAGGAAGCATCCGAGAGACAGCTGGATGTTAAGCTCTTGGAATCTGTGGTTCAAATCAAAATGCCCACATACCCCAATCCGCAAGCATAGGTAGCTCACAAGCTCAACGTGGAGGATCATGGGACTTAGTAGGTAAGGTTATGTTTCCCTTCATTGGGGTTTTAAGTATAGTTACCTTAATTATAACCCTAGTTACTAAGTCCCATGATCCTTTAAGAACCCCCATATCCCTAAACCCCAAATTCAAACGTCGGACCGCGACACCCGACTCCTAAACGGGTCAGGGAGTAGTGAAAGCCGAGACATACGAGGAGGTGGTAGACTTCGAGGAGGACCTCCCTGAGATGGCAGAGGATGATTTTGATCCCGAGGATGAATTTGATGTTGACAAGGAGGCTAAACGGGTCTTCGACAAGTTTGAGCCTGGGTGGCATCTTATTGAAGTCTCCGAAGTCTCTCGTGCATGAGGTTCTGTTATCTGGGATCTGTGACCTTTCGGGTTCTTGTTTGCTTGTCGGATCTTGTGCTCCGTACCGGTGGCCTCAGGCTTGAATTGACCCAGACCCCTAAACCATTAAACCATCCCAAACTCCCATAACTCTAATTCCTGAGAGCTCAAAGAGAGTTCAGGGCTCAGGATCCCGGTCTGGGCCGGATGCACAGTCTTAGAAAGCAGTATCCTGGCTTGGGCCAGACAGCTTTTCTCGCGCGTGCGTGCGTGCGTGCGTGCGTGGGTGCGTGCGTGCGTGCGTGCGTGGGTGCGTGTGTGTGTGTGTTTGTGTGTTTGTGTGTGCGTGTGTTTGTGTGTGTGTATATATATATATGTATGTAACGGGAGCGCGGTGCATTCCAGCAAGGTAGCTGAGGGTGCCGGGGGCGCTGATCAGATCGGCACTAACAAAGACGCTCATCAGATGCCCGTTCCGCTGTGTACCTGTTATTTGTGGCTCCATCCATAGTGCAAGCTGTGCATTGCTTCCAGATTGACATCATCGCTGTGCATTGGTGATCGCAGAATGCCGCGAGTCAATTTCGGGCGCAAGGCTTCAGGTTCAAGGTGCTCCTTGGCTTCTTTGTTTCACCACCAGCAAGGAAAACCAGGCCTATTGAGAGACCTCCGGCAAAGCTTTCTCCTTCGATGTCTCAGTTGAGTTGCTCTAAGCTCAATCCTGAGTTGATATCACGCACCTTGAGAACTACACAGCAGAGTTTTTGCTTGGAGTTCGTGTGTGTGTGTGTTTTTTTTTTTGTGTGTGTGTGTGTGTGTTGTTTTGGTGTGTGTGTGTGTGTGTGTGTATTCGGTGTGTGGGTGTGGGCGGGTTGGGGCGTGGGCGTTGGGGTGGAACCTAATGGTGTGTGCGAGTGCATTTGTATCTGTATATGTGTTTCTATATATATTTTTACAGAAAGCGTCGCACTGCAGGCCCGAGTTTTGGAGCTTTCCCTTTCTCCATATTGTAAGCTAGGATTGTGCAAGAGTGTTGCATTTATTTGTTTACAGGAAAAATTTCTGAACAAAGAAAAATGTTATCTGATTGAAAGCTCCTGTGGGAATAACGGGCCTGGATAGTGTCTGCAACATTAGATAGCCTAAACCAAAGAGCCAAAAGGCCTGGAGTCCGTGGCCCTGGCCCTGGCCTTGCAGCTGGGGGGGGGGGGGGAAAAAAAAAAAAAAAAAAAAAAAAAAAAAAAAACTAAAAAATATTGTTTTTTTTTTTTTTTTTCCCCCCCCTCCCCCCCCCCTCCCCAGTCCAGCCCAGGGACCTCAAAACCTCAAAGTGCAGCCCTTCTGAGGCTAGAGCCAGGCCTACGGACCAAGCCAGCGAATTTCAGTAATTATACAAATCTGTAAAGCCTTCAGGCCTTAGGCCAAGAAACAAGATCATAAATCCACCTAGACTCAGGACCGAGGAGAAACCTCATAAAGATCTTCATCTCTATCATCCACCCCTATGAGACATATCAAGATTGCAACATAAGGTTATAGGATATTTTAATAGATATCACCTCTTGCATGATCCATATGTAGAGCTTGTCCATGCATTCCTGGGTATGTTTGTAGATACATGTGTCTATGTGATCATTCAACTTGACAAGTCGCACGACATCGCATATGTGTTTGTATACATATATATGTATAAACAGAGGAACCATGCATTTAACAGTCGTGAATGTGTGCGTATATATATATATAGTTACACTTAGCATGTATGTCTAAGTATGTTTTTCCTATGAATATCATACAACAATGATTAGAACCAGGTCGTTGAAAACTACATTGTTGATGCCATTGTCGGTTCATGTCTAAATACATATGTGTTATCATGTCAGATGTACAGTTTATATATAATATATACATGTATCGATCGGTCGAAAACATGTACGATAGTGACAGATGTGCAAGTTGATAGGGATATCTCAACCATCGATTTGGTTTATATATATATATATACACACACGCGAATTTGTTGCGGCCTTAGGGTTTAGAAAGTTGAAGGCTTATGCAACCCCATCACAATGTTGTGCTTTTGGGTGAAACACTCGGTTTTATCATGTTTTTTACTGGGTGATTGAAAATTGCACTATCAGACATGATGCATGCATTCCCCAAAAGATGCATAAGCCCTGATACGAGATGATAGATCACAATCCCAATCGTTCGTTCAGATAACCACGGTTGAAACTGCGGAGCGGATAGGCGGGACCCCCCCCCCAATCCTATCAGGGATTGCCTTATGCTTTCGAAACCACAGCCTTAGCAGGATATGAATAAGAGCAACGGACAGGTGGCCAAATCTTCATCGTTATGACTAAAGATGATGGACCCAAATTGCGCAGACACAGACAAGATGACAGCAATCAATGAAATAAATGACTCGGAAGACTGGCAAAAGTTCAAAAAGGGCTAGAATGGAGGAGTGGTTCGCAGTGGTTCGAGAAACGAAACTTTCCAAATACAAGTGGACATAGTGGAAGGCTGTCCAAACGGCTAATAATGATTAGATATGATGCAGTTTATGTAAAAATGTTTAACAGATATGTATAAATACATATAGCTCTTAAATTAAGATATGGGAGACAGATGATGCGTCTCAAACACTAACATCACGATTGGGTTCCAGCAATCCACCATATTGGACAAGTTGGGTGGCAAGCCCAAAAAAAATTCAGGGAGGTGATGGAATTCAGTTCATCATCCCGAAGAAGGGTAGCAAGTTTGAATGCATGATATATTCTGATCAGGATACATGGGTGGCATGTCCAATATGTTCATCCTTGGCGGCAGACTGCGGGTAAAAATCCATAGTCAACCCCACTAGGTCAGAAACACTTTAAACTCCAACAAAAGATGATATGTGGAAATTCAGCAACTTAACACAAACATGGTGGAGAGCCAAGACTAACATCTAATTGAGGCATTTCTGTCCCAACTAACAAGGCATAACTGATGTTACACTAGAACCCTAAAAGACACAGTGAATGCCAAGATCCAGAAATAGGTCATAACATCTGACATGTTCCTCAAGCATACCTACTGGGTCTAAAGAAAAATGGAAGGGGTGGCAAACCCGAATATTTCGAATAGGTAACTTAACAGCACAAAATCAAATGTCTGTTGCATAACTGTGTTGGTCAGTTACCATTCAGCATGTTTGTAAACTTGCAGGAGGTTTTGCCATTGTGTTCGATTTTGCTACAGATGAGCCAAAAGTCTTGAGAAGCATGAAGAATGTACTGAAACTCGCTTATTTCGACTGAAAAACACGGGCCTGCATTCCGACGCACTCTCTATTTTTATGTATATACATCATCGAATATATATATATATATATATATATATATATATATATGCACACACACACACACACATCAGAGAGACATAGAGAGAGTGTGTGTGTGTGTGTGTCTGTTTGTGTTTGTCCGCAGCTCGAAACGCGCCAAAGCTTGCACAGGGGTTTTGAAGCACGGGGAGGGGGTGAAAGGTGAGTTTAGGTTGCAGGTGCATGTTCCAAGCAGGACATAACATAGAGCGATGACATGAGGATGTGAACCAGAACGGTACGATTGACGTCCAAGAGCTCGGCATGTGTCTCATGATGAACGGGGTCTTCATGGTTCCCCATCAACTTGACGCACTGATGCAGCAATACCAGTCGGATGGAAAGCCGGGACTCTCTTTCGAGGAGTTCAAGCAGATGTGCGGACAAGCCTGAGACGACATCTACTGTATCCACCCTTCGAAGCCCGGTAATTAGCGCATGTGCTGATGGGTATCATATGGTCCCAACATTTGTAGAGGTGTATTGGGGATAGAAGAACCGTGTATTCAAACAATCAATGTATAGGCAGCTGGGCTTTTTTGCCAAGGCGCAGACGATGAAGGGTTCCATACTTTTGAAACAGTATCCCCAGGGCAGACTTGCCTAAGACCATGACGCATTGCATAAAGCCAGTGGTCATGCCTTCTAGTTAATTCGTCGCATGGAGCTACTTTCTGCTATTGCCGAAAGCAGACTCTGCGACGCCCACAGAACCTTGAAATGCTGCAGTGTATGTGCACCCATGCATGTCGGCACCAAGTCTTTCTTAATTAGGCAGTACCTTTATTCCTTTCCTAATTGGGAGAAAGCTTGTCAGAGTTCTGGTGCATTTTCTGAATTATTGCTGCGCGGACGGGCTGCATCCGTCGCATCCGTGCCTGCTCGAAAGAGACGTCACCTCGGAAGATGACGCAGGTTTTGAGCACTTCCGGCATAGAGGCATCGAGTTGACGGTTTGCACCGCTTGAGTTCCAGGGTTCCTACCTTGGAGAAGCATTTGTTAACTCGTGGAGTTCCTAGGTTCTTATAAGGGTATGCAAGAACACTATATCTGTTCATATATGTGGACTTTATCAGGAGACATTAGTATCCGTTTTCTTACTGGTATCTCTTGGAGGCCTTGATAATTAGAAGGTGCTTCTGGGGGGTATGTTGCAGTACAGTTTCATCGGGACTACATAAGAGGATCTTTGTTTTTGTTAAGTTTCTGCTGCATCAATCCTGAACCTTAAGTCCCCCCCCAGCTATGTTGCAGGCCGTCCAGACCATTGAGAAGCCCAAGGCGGAAGAGTCCCCAAAGGAGGCACGGGGAACTTTCCGGGTCTAGGGTTCGGAGTTTGGCGTTTATAGGATTCCACTTTCGAACGCAGCTACACCAAGAATGGTACTCAAGCATGCGTGTCACCGGTGCCGTGTCCCATTGTGCAGGTAGCGTGCTGCCAAGATCACTCCGAGGTTTGAACCGAAACACATAACCTTCCCGAGAACAAACACAAGCATATGCACTGAGCATAAAGAAGTGTGGAGCTTAGGATCTGCGGTTTGGGAGATGTTTCAAATTTGAGGCTTCGGACTCAGGGTTTAGGCCCCAGGACTCAGGATGTGAGAGAACATGAGTTTTTTAAAGGTGTTTTGGGGATATGACGCCCCGCGACCCTGCAAGTCCCAACCTCGGACGTTTAGCCCGGGTCCGGCGGCAGGCACGCGTCTTGTGCACACCTCTTGTTCGATGCGTTCGGGCTAGTGCTTAAGGACCCTGGGGTTTTGCAGGACCGCCGAAGGCAGCCTCATGCCAATTTGTCCATCCTTCTTGCAGGCTATCCAGGCTGCAGTAGAGGATGCTCCGAGGAATTTCGAGGTCGCGTTTTTGGAATCCCCCAAACCCTAAACTCAAAACCCTCATTGCTGCGCGACATGGGGTTCATTATCCTAGACAGCTTGTCTGAAGCTACGATGGATGTGTTTGTCAAGCCGCCCTCCTGCTTGCGAATACAGTTCATGGGGGAAGTGGCTGTTAAAGTGGCCGTGTGGGGTGTAGGGCTCCTCTCGCTAGGCCGAGCCGCCGAAGAATGGCAAGGCGAAGGTGGGCGCTTTTTTGTGGCTGTAGCGGTAGCCTGTGTTGATGTTCTACAGAAGTCTTGTTAGGGAATATTTGGAAGCCATCTTACTTACCATAGATCCCTGTGATGGTAATTTTTGACTACTTAAGTTCTATTGGCATTCTACATGGACACCAGGGTCCTCAGTTGTGCGACGCAAAACCCACGTGCAAAGTCCTTCACATCAAGGTAACCACCGAAGTCAGCAACGGCGCGAATGGGAAGTCAGAGGCGCGAGAGTAGTTGAAGTTTAAGCTTTGCACAATCTGGGTATTGGCTTGCCAGCCACAGTGACCCTAAACACTACAGCCCCAAACCTTAGACCAGCCTTAAACCCTGTAGCCCCAAACCCTAAACCCTAAAGCCCTAAATCCTAAATAAGCCGTAAACCCTACAGACTCTAAACCCGACAGACTCTAAATCCGACTGCGGTTGCCCCGAGCCAAGCTGCAGGATCTTCAAACCCATACATACCCCCCCCCCTCCCCCGCCCTCTTTTGGGGGCGTTTAGTGTTTAGGCGTTTAGGGTTAAGGGTGAAGGTTTAGAGCTGCCCTTCAACGAAACTCTTCTCTCAGGCAGGTTTAGGGGTTAGGCTTTAGGGTTGGTTTAGGGGTTTAGGGGTGTAGGGCTTGAGGGTTTGGAGGTTTAGGGGTTTAGGGTTTGGAGGTTTAGGGGTTTAGGCGTTAGGTGCGGTGGCGGGTTTTAGGCCATGTAGGGATGGGGTCTAGGGTCGTACGGCTCGGTGTTTGGGGTGTAGTGTCTGGGGTGATATGCTGCATCAAGGTCATCTAAAGGCCTAGACTTGCTGTGCCCAACCTTTCTCGGCATGTCGAGCTTGCATGAACACTTTAACAACCCAAGCTTGAGAGAGCTCGTCATTGTGCTTCATCTATTCTGTAGGGGCACGAGCAGAGGTTCAGCTTTTCCTGGCCTCTTGCGAGCACCCGTATCCCTATGTCTGTTATGCCTTAATCAAACCTGATTCGATGAACTTGCTGAGTGTAAGGTGAGTACAGTATCCCACTTCGAAAACCATGTGAGGTTCTTGATGCAGGTAGAATGTTTCACTATGTAAGTTGCGCGCATGATCAAGAACTGTGTTTGGCATTTCGATGCGTGAAAGTCAGGTGAATGACGAACAGCTATGATGATAATTTTTGTACTACCAAACCAATGTCCACAAAGTAGCCTGTTGGTGCTATGACTCCTTTTAATGCAGTGTCTCGTATTGATATGTTTGGATTTAGGCAAGTTGGTATCTCTCAATCTCTCAAGATTCTGTCGTGGTTGAAGGTGTGGTGCTTAAGGGCGGTTGGTAAGTCACGTTCATTATCGCTTCTTCGGCCTAGACTCCACAGCAACAACCACAAGCACAACAACAGAAACCGCATCTGCACAGGTGACAGGGGTGTAGTGCTGCAGCACGGTATTGTGCGCACTAGTCTCACCAGCAATCCAACAATAGAGCTGCAATTCGTTGTTGATCCTGACATGTTTTCTCAAAGTGTGGGTTGCCTCTTTTCAGAGTCTTGCGATTTAGGATACATATAGTCCGGCATAATTAGTCATACTATCCCATTGAAATCCGTATATACTTATAATACTATAATATAGACCAAAATCTTGCTCCAATTATTTCAGGGCCCTACCTCAGTCGTCCCCTGCTTTGCGAAGCCCCAAGTGGCAGGTGACCACAGCGGCACATGAGGCTCGGCAGTCCAGCTCAGCGCTTCGAATCCCACCCTAAATCTAAAATATGCATCGGCGTATTGCACTGTCCACTTGCACATACGTCGGGTTCGGCGTCGTAGTTCTTGGACTCTAGGCCCAGAAGTAAGAGCAGGGACCTGTGTGTAAGCGATCCTGAAGGGCCTTGGCGTTCAGGGTTTATCTCAGGAGTCAGGATGTTGAGGGATTCGTGATTTGTCTTACAGTTTAGGAGTTGTAATGTTTGGCTTAGGGCAAGGTCCCGCTCTCCGGGTATGTTGGGACCGCTTTCCTTAGAGTTCCTACTGTGATGTTATGATACATCTTGGATACTGCCCCCCCCCCACTCAGTAACAGTTGAGCAATATTCATACTATGGAGATATAAGGCACCTATTCGTAGCCCTATGATAGACTGTTACTATATGGGGGGCAGTACCCAACATACATCCCTCGAGCTCATACCCGGGCGGCCGGTATGGTCGGCACTTGGTCGAGGTGCCTCTGAATCGTATACCCACGTTGAATAATACAATGTAATATTGTTATATGTATGTATGTATGTATATATGTATGTATATATATATATATATAGCCACTGTCTCGTTCAGCCGAAATGCAACAGTAATTCTTGGTTCCTGCTTCAGAGAACATGAGCATAGTCATGTCGCGTGGACCTGGCCTCATATTCGAAAGCCATGAACGCCACAAAAAGGCCAACCGTGAATCCAAAAATCCAGCCCGACTGCCCAAAGGCTACATCCCGAACTTGGGGTCGATTGCTTCCCTCGTCGAAAGCCCAAAGTCGCAGAACAAGGAATCTGACACTCCAAACCACCCCAAACCGCGAAGCCAAAGCCCCACAAAGCACCACACCCCGCCTGCTTAAAAGTGCTATTCCTGACGGTGCTTGATTCTATAGTTTTTTGCAAGATACCCAAAGCTTGTTTTAAGTGTTCAGGCCTTATATTACGCCCCACCTGCCTGGAAAGGAGCCGGCCAAGATGGAGGAGAAGGAACCGGACCAGGAGCGAGCGGCCATAGTAACAACTATCCATAAAGACCTTTATATGGGCCAGAATAAGTAGTAACAGTATTGCTTAGGCTTTTCTACAGGAGTATAGCATACTAAAACCTAGTTCATGCACTGAGGCCTTTTGTTACACACACACACACATAAAAGTCTTAGCCCCAAGCTCAACGCCCGGGGAGCTCGATGGTCCCAAGCCTTCGAATCCCGGACCACGAGAAAGTTCCAAAATCGAGGTCCTCTGCAAGCTAAGTGGATAGTTTCCTCGCGCCGACTTGGACGAAAAGGCCCTGACGTCGAGCAAACACCCGGAATGACAGCCCGCTCAAGAGGTAGAGCTCCGATTATTTCCCTCGTTGAGCACGAACTTAAAACAGTACACCCCACCTGTTTGGAAAGGAGCCGGTCAAGATGGAGGACGAGGAGCCAGCCAAGGCTTGAACAGACATGTTAACTTAATACCTATCTATCACGTATGTTATATGTATATATATATATATATATATATGTGTGTGTATATATATATATGTATATATATATATATACGGCTATATATATATATATATATATAGATATATATGTATACGGATATATATATATATATATATATACATACATACATACTTACATATAAATGTAGATGCATATGTGGATGTTATATAGCTATGTATTTACGTGTGCATACATATACATATACATATATGTGCCTACATGTACATATAAATTTATGTATATGTGTGTGTATATACATAGGTACATATCTACTGATATACATGTGTGCTTATATGCCCATGCATATACACATACATACACATATACATATACAAATACATATACATATACATATACATGTACATGTACATGTACATGTACATGTACATATATATGTATATGTATATGTGTAATACACTGAATGAATATATATACACACATGTACATATATATATATATATATATATATATGCACGTACATACATGTATACATATATACATAAATGAACAACGACTACCAACATCCCTCATGGCTCCAATTGCCCCCACCGTACTGCACGTACTGAGGCCATATCGGCTTTTGTGTGGGCATGTCACAATGTTCGAAAGGCTGCTCATGTTTGTTCATTGGAAGGCGCTGTAGGGTTCTGTGGGCCTGCCAGGAAAGGGGGATATTTAGAATATGGTTGGGGGGGTAGAATCATCATACTGTAACCACAATAAGAACTACAAACCAGTCAGGCTTCTGTATTACCGTACCGTGGAAAAAAGTAGCAGGTAGGATGATCGTTGCCAAGAGCCCGCCAGCTGGCGGCTCCAAATTTGTGAGCACCCGCCAGGTGCTTAACGGCAACCGCAATAATGGTAACAATTCAGTAACAATAAAAACAAGCGAAGAATAGCACGGTCATTGACACTAATCGTAATAGTAAGATAATGATAGTAATGACCTGCTCCCTCTCCATAACAGCAGATGCTTTGCGATGAGCTTGCTTCGAAAGGTGCAAAATGAGCGTACATGCTGGTATGCAGGTACATAAGTGTACACATGTACATATATATATATATACATATACATATATATATATATATATATATATATGGTCACACCCCCCCCCCATGATCCACCCCAGCCTTCTCCTCAACTACTCCTGTACTGACTGTCTTCTGGTACAAGATGCGTATTGCTAAAGTCAGAATCTATCGTTATTTACGGTGTTTTATGCAGTTCATGTACATGTACAGATGCTGCTTTTCGCCTTTTATATCATATACAAACAAGCCAAAACCGAAACCAGATTCTGGTTCTGGATTCTGGGTCTGCTGCCGCGCTCTTTATCAGCTCTTGCTGTTCAAGTCAAAACTTGGCCTTCCTATTTTGGAGTTTGTCGAACTACTTACGATGTACAGTTTGAATAGACACAGCTGCTCTTCTCTTCATAACAGAAGCGGTAAGGACAACTCCTTCAGTGAAAGCAAACATGCCAGTGGTATGTTTGGCTTACTAGCAACATTGTAGCCACACTAAACAGAGGTGTTGCCCATCAGACATGGAAAGGAATCTCCATGTATCTTCATGCTTCAAGGGAACGTAGGACAACATCATATCTTCAAAATTTCAACCGACAAGGGAAGCATGGTTGTTCTTGTTCAGGTGGTGTTATCAATAGAAATCTTGTTTCAGCACAAAGAAACACAATAAGCCACCTTAGTCCCTTGTCCGTCGCTGGAACTCAGTGGCTGGAACTCAACGAGCTCTTGCAGTATACCAATACCACAAAATCGGAGTGATTAGGGAAAGACATGGTCTCCCTCCACCAAACTCCAAATACATTCGGTCACAAGCAGAGTATGTCAAGCTTCTTACGCTTTATACTTCGTGGGAATTAAGGCAAGCATGTAGCTGGAAAGCATTCGTTATTGAACACATTTGTTGTTTTTTCTTTTTAACAGATGCAAGACGATCCTGGCTCAGAGCACATAATCGAGCTCCGTCGCACCGCGCTACTCGCAAGAGTTATATAGCTCCTGCCATCTTTGAATACAGCATGAAACAGCTCCAGACCTCTCCTCATAGCCTCCAAGAAATGGTGGAAACACATCTTTTCTCATTATGCTTTAAGGAAAGCAGTAAAACACTCGACTTACCTCTTGAGCAAGGTTGACCTTGACTCGGTTATGAGTTTGCTCCACGAGAGAAGAGTTAGTACCGCCAGTAATCGAAGCAATTGAAAGCTCATTTACCAGGTTCCCCACTGTCGCCTGAATGGCACCTTGTTTTCTGGTATTGAGTTTGAACAAGGGGATCCCAAAGTAATCAGGCAGGACAGTACTACTTGGGAACTCACTTTATATGTAATGATATGAAATATCGGAGCTTATCAGTTTCTTTAGTTTGTGAGGTAATATAGAATACAAGGAACACTTCTTCTTTGTTCAAGCTACGGGCAAGAGTTTAAACGGTTAGCAAGATCTTACGTCGATGCAGAAACAAGAACTCGACAGTATCTAAACATGATGTACAGTTCAACGAACATGTGCATTCGGAAAAAAACGTTCTGAAGCATCCACAAACACAGGCAGGTTTCAATATTCTAAAGTACAGCTGTTCTTATATTCCTTTTATTGAGCCAAAGTGATCTTAACAACAGCTATGACCTTGTTCGATGAAAGAAACAAGAGCACACTTGAGAACGGAAGCACTTGAAGGCTCATGTGTGAGTACCTGGTACGGCTGTTCTTTTATGACTTTGGCATTTCAGGTTTCAGGAATCTTGGAGATTCGAGCCTGGCAGTGTTTTCGCGTCCGAGGTTGCCAAAACACCGCCAGGCACCAATTTCACCAAACTTTGTGAGGCTGGAAGTGCCAAAACCTCGCCAGGCACCAATTTCCCCAAAATCCTGGCATCTATGGAGGCCGTCAGAGTTCAGCTGAATGAATTTTGGGGAAATTGGTGCCTGGCGGTGTTTTCGCATCCGAGGTTGCCAAAGCACCGCCAGGCACCAATTTCCCCAAAGTTTCTGAAGCTGGAAGTGCCAAAACCTCACCAGGCACCAATTTCCCCAAAATCACCAAAATCCCGGCATCTATGAGGCGTGCCGGGCCATAGTTGTTCAGCGTTTGGGATTTTTGGGAAAATTGGAGCCTGTCGATGTTTTCGCACTTCCAGCTTTGCAAACTTTGGGGAATTTGGTGCCTGGCGGTGTTTTCGCATCCGAGGTTGCCCACCTCCCATGATCCACTGTTTGCAAGAAGCAGGTTCGGGTGGATCATGGGGGGGCGTGAGCATAGATATATACGTATACACACACATACATGTAAGGAGATACCTGCGAGCATCGCGAATGACTCCTCACAGCAGGCTGTGCAAAAAATGCGAGACTAGAGAACAGCACAGCCTGGCAGCATTTATGAGGCAGATCGAACTGCACAACACTGGGTTGCCGTGCACCCAATCTACCCGGCACCCTGAAGACTGGTTTTTGCGAGACTGAACGAAATCTCTAAGACCTTCGAACGATGTGGCCTTGAAAAGCACATCCTCAGACCCGAAAGCCATAAACTCTCCCGCTCGTGTCCTCCAATCCCATCCTTGAATCCTCAGAAGCCTAAGACTGCATTTCCCGTCCGTGTTTCTCATGGTGCCACAGGAGCTGCAATTCAGGTGTATGTATCTACGGTGGCTCTTGGAGCTCTGAAGCCCTGAGCTAAAGCGCCACATGGCCTGAAACCTCAAACCCAGAACTCCATGAGCCGATTTGGATCTAAACTCTGACACCCAAGCCTAGCCCTTACTTGAGCCCTCATTGCACCCTTCCGTCCCCTATACAGGAGGCCCACTAAGCGGATGGGATGCCCTGAGAGGTGCCCACAGAGGCTGAAGAACCAGAAGTCACCGAGGAGGTGGTGGAGAAAGAAGTGGTGGCAAAAGAGGTGTGCCACTCGAAAAGTTTAGGTTTAGCGCTTCTTTAGGGTGTTGAGGATTTAGGGGCTTTAGGGCTCTAGGTTGCAAGATTTGAGGCTGTTGGGTTCATGGCTTGATGGATTTCAAGCATTAGACTTTGGGTGCTGTGTCTCGTGGCTTGTGAGGGTTAAGGGTACATCTTCTCTTTCTGGCTGTGGTTCCCTTTTGTTTGTCGAGTTTTTGGTTTTAGGTGATTCGGGATTCGGTTCTTACGCTGTAGACATCGGTGCGTTGTGGGTCCCTGTAAAGCCCGAACCCCAAAATCCTAAATTATTCCAAGCTCTCAACACTGAACACTTTGGTGTTAAACAAGTTGCTGAAATAGGGGTGTGATTATTTCATATTGTCATATTGGTGGTATTCCCTTTACATGAATGTATTAGAACATACCCCAGATCCCTATACCATTAATCAGGCCCCAAGAGCAAACCCCGAAAGATCCCATACCTCCACATAACGCCCTGCTAGACAAGGCCCTTTCGAAACCCGAAACCCAAAGCCCCCTGCCCACAACAAGGCGAGAAAGACTATGCAATCCTGAATAACTATCCTCATTTTTCTTAGGCTCCCTTTGTCTAAGTATGCCACAATGTTCCCAAAGCCCCTACCCTAATCCCTGCACCCCATAAACCCTGCCCCCCTACCCTCGAGCAACCCAGTGCTCCGGACTCACTGCTTTTGGAACCCCTTGCATAGGAAGCACCAGCACTTGCTCCAAATTTCGAAGACCTGATGTCCGTGCTCGTACCGAGACTAGCTTCAAGCAGGAATACGGAATCCCCAAACAGAACACTGCTCCGGTGCAGTTGTCGATCACAACTGCATAAGAGCTAGAAGCTCTCCGTGCTGGTTGATGAGGCCGATCGTTCAATATAGCACCCATTGGTGGTGCGATTCCGCTGCCTGCGGACAACAAAACCTGCATTCGGAAGTTTCAGAAGGTAGGGGACCCTAAATATAGATCCCAAGAAGTAGGATCCGGCAAACGAAGACCCCAAAGAGGACCCTCAGAGCAAGAGCCTCCCCTAGTGAGATATTTCGTTGCGAATTGGAGGAGGCAGAAGCTGTTGAGGCTCCGCCGGCTCCAGCTAAGAATGCCGGGAGCCCAGGTGCTTGCATCTACTCGTTCCGCACACACCTGCACACGGCACACAGAAGAGCGGTTTCGCACATTGTAGCTGCTCACCCATCCACACCTCAACCCATGCACTGCTAAACTGACAAACCAACCCGACACCGTCAGCCATTCGCGGACATCTTGGGAGACGATGATTGGGACAACGATGATAATCCAGAAAGATTCTCAGACATGGAGATGAGTCGGATTTATTGGAGAAGAGTTTTCTCCAAAGCTCGAAAGGGTCCAGGGGCTTTTAGAGGTTGAGGGTTTTGAGGGGTTTAGGGGTTTAGGGGTTGGGAGGGTGGAGGTCTCGGGTTTAGGGGCTTCGAACCCTGTCCTTTGAAGTGGTCCGTGGTCAGTCCTTTTCCGGGGAGCTGGAGGCTGCCGCTGCTCCAGCAGCGCAGGCGCAGGCGTGGCGGGTTTTCTTTCAGGTGTCGTAAGCTAGTATTATGAGGGTTCTGACTTGTGGCTCACATGACCCACTGTTTGCCACGATGCTAGAAGTTACTATAATGAGCGACAAACTACGCTTCTGCAGGGTTTGGTGATGTGATTATTGATGCAGTAGGGCTTCGGGGTTCTGGACTGGATAGCTTGCTTGCGCAGGGTTCAAAACTACATTCGGGTGTACGTGAGGTTAGGTTTACGGTACCTTTGGTTGGCTCGGCTGTTTGTTTTCGAGACTTTTTTCATGAGGTAGCATATTTGTGAAGGTTGTTCTGGGGCGGACTGTTCGGATGGCAGTATAAGGGTTCTGGATTTTGTGGTTTTGGGTCGGCGAACCTTTTTGTCAATGGCAGGCTGTGTTTGTGCTGGTTAGTTTTTTTTGTTTTTTGTTCTATGTTGGGCGGTTGACAACCCTGAAATACAACCCATTAGCCTGAGGGCTGAAGCCGTAAACCCTTTTTTTGCAAAAGTCGCAGTGTTTGTTGGAACATGAACCTTCCGTCACATCTACGACACATGAACTGGCAGCCGCGACGCTTCACATGGACCTTATTACCCTGAGTAGTGAGTCGCTTGAGTACAGGAGTACTTCGGGAGTTGGGGCTAGATGTTCCAGTCTCCAAATGCTAAGATTGAGGTTTAGGGTATGGGGGCATGGACGCTCTTCTGATCTGAACTGTTTGGGTCTCTTGCTTGTTCAGCAGTCTGTGCAACAGGAGTTCTCTGCCTTGTCAGGACAATTTGTTGGGTTGCATTTGTAGGGCTTGAAAGAAGTTGGACAGGACTCTGACATTAGAGGATGCAACATGAAGAAGTTTGTGGTGCCCCTGCCCTCCAGCAACCCAGTGCTCCGGACTCACTGCTTCTGGAGCCCCTTGCATAGGAAGCGACAGCACTTGGTCGGAAGATCTCCAAATCCATTACGCATGTTCGAAGACCTGATGTCCGTCCTCGTGTCACCTTCACAGCAGTCTACCACATCGAGACTAGCTTCAAGCAAGAATACCGAAGCCCCAATGAGAACACTACACCCGTGCAGTTGTCGAGCACATTTGCATTATTTGCATGAGAGCTAAAAGCTCTCTGTGCTGGTTGATGAGGCGGATTGTGTCAAATAGCATCCTTTCGTTGTGCGATTCTGCTGGGAGTTTCAGAAAGTAGGGGACCCTAAATATAGATCCCAAGAAGTAGGATCCGGCAAACGAAGACCCCAAAGAGGACCCTCAGAGCAAGAACCTCCCCTAGTGAGATATTTCGTTGCGAATTGGAGGAGGCAGAAGCTGTTGAGGCTCCGCCGGCTCCAGCCAAGAGTGTCGGGAGCCCAGGTGCTGTCGTCTACTCGTTCCGCACACACCTGCACACGGCACACAAAAGAGCGGTTTCCCACTTTGCAGCTGCTTGCCCATCCACACCTCAACCCATGCAATGCTAAACTGCTAAAACAGCCAGACACCTGCAACTCCAAACGCCAGACCCTTGAACGCCTGCAGTGCAAGCTCCCGTTTGTCAGTCATTCCTGGACGTCTTGGGAGACGTTGACTGGAACAGCCTTGATAACCCAGCACGATTCTCAGATATGGAGATGCTTCGGATTTAGAGTTTGGATCGGGTGCAGTGCCGTTTACGGGTTAAGGTTTTACGCTTCCGGTTTGGCGATTTTCGGATCAGGGGTTTGGGGCAAACTAATCGACCCAAGAACCCTGATATTCAAACCCTAAACCCTAAACCCCAGAACCCTGACATATATGCAGACACTCGAGTCGGTTGTCCCCTGCAACTTTTAGCCTTCCAACTGCCTGAGACGAGATGCCGGCCCTTGTCAATCCAAGTTGCGCCTCATAGCCATTTAACCCTAAATCAGAAGGCCTCAAACCCTAAACTCAAACCCTCCTACAATGTAGAAGCTTGAGTTTCGGGTTCATACCGCCAACAGTTGATGCAGGAAGTCTTGCAAGTAAGCTGAGACTTGGACACGTGCACGGTTTCGTTGATGCGCAATCGATTTTACTAGCATCCAGTTGCGGATTTCGGGTCCTTAGTTCTCATAGTCATAGTCTGACAGACCGCTGACTTTCATGCCGAATGCAGTTCTGTTCAACAGGCTTTTTTTATTTCTGTTTATGAAGGTTGAGGGGCCTATGTGTTGATAAGTCCATGTCACTTTCAGACACACTCGTGCTGCTGGGGTTAGCATGCATCTTAAGACGAGCTACTTTCACATTTGTGCGTGCTGAGACATCTGTGTTTTTCTTTGCTGTTGTACCTGCTTCAAGATAAGGTCCTGTCTGGTAGACATCTGCTTGAAGCTGTTGGGTTGACATGCATGTAATGTACATGTAGACACACACACACACACCCTCGTTGCACAAGTACTCATACACAAACATAATCTCGTAGATGGGTACACAAGCTCCGACAGCACATGTATCCAAACAAAATCGTACAAATATGCGTTTGCTGGAGAGGCGATACAGTGTGACCCACACAGACAGGTAGACAAGGACAGAAAATCAGATTATGGAAGAAAATCCCCAGCGTAAGAAGAAGCGCGTGGTGGGTATTACCCCACGACATAGTTGTGTGGGAAAGTGGCAGTGTCGTCATACAGAAATTACTCCTGAGGTGGGAACTGCGGGTATGCTTTGCGCGATAGTTTGGAGGTGGCCACTTCACTTCGGATACTGTACTCTGCGTACAGGCACTGCTCCGGACCATTTCCCTCGGGATACATTTGGGGTGTGCTCTGCCAGTGGGCACTCCAACACTTTGGGAGGGATTCTCGGCTTTGTCGTGGTGGGCGCTCCGCGGATACTCTGCATGGGGTCGGCACTCCCGGGATAGTTTGGGATCTAGTCTGGGCATGAGTACTTTGCGGTATACTTTCAGGATGAGCACTTCAAAACATACTCTGGGGTGAACACCCTGGCAGACATGGTTGGGGGCACTCGCCGGCAAAGTAGGTCAGAATAGCCACCACAGAGTGTTTTCGGAGCGCCTATAATTGGAGCATCATTCCCCAGAGCTCCCACAAATCTAATCCCTGAACTGCGCATCCCCAGACTATCCCATAGAGTATACTTTGGGCGCTCCATGGGACTTTGTGGCGGGCGAACTGGTGATTCTGGGGATCTCTGGAGGAACTGAGATGCGCACTCCAACAAAACTGCCAGGTACTCTGGGTGTGGGCACTCCAGGCATTCTCTGTTGGCGATTCTGCAGGGTTTTGGGGGGGAGTCGGGCGAGCATCAGGAGAGTGCGAGGACAAGGGCTGCTTATCAAAAACTTCGCACCGAGGCTGCCGAATATTTGCTAATGATATAAAGGAACTATATAATGCTACAATAATATGATAATAGCATATATATATGTGTGTGTGTGTATGTACCAGAGAATATGAATATATATATATATATATATATATATATATATATATAGGAAAATATAAGATACAACAAAATCTAGTATTGTGATAACATTAGCAGTCATGATGATACTTGTAAATTCAAGCAGTGTTATAGCGGATGAGTAGTCGCAAGAATCATCATTGCAAATACTTGTACTAACTACTACTACTACTGCTACTACTACTACTACTACTACTACTACTATTGCTACTACTTCTACTACTACTCCTACTGCTACTACTACTACTACTACTACTACTGCTACTACTACTACTACTCCTCCTCCTCCTCCTCCTGCTGCTGCTGCTGCTGCTGCTGCTAGTGCTGGTGCTAGTGCTAGTGCAACTGCAACTGCTCCTGCACTCCTACTGCTGCTACTACTGCTTCTACTCCTCACTGCTACTAGTGCTAATCCAACTGCAACTGCCACCGCACTCCTATTTCTGCTGCTACTGCTGCTACTTCTTACTGCTGCCGCTACCGCTGATGCTGCTGTCACTATCACAACCACGACCACTACTACAACTCCTCCGAGGACCCACATGCCCACGCATATCGTGTTGGTCTTTGGATTTTATGGTGTTGGCTGAACCATACCGAGCTATTTCCAGGGCAACAGAGATCCGGATCCCATTTCGGAGCGACATGGCCGCACGAAGATCCGGTTTGCACGGGGAATTTATGTCTTGAGGGTTTCGGGTGCCGGAATGTCAGCACCCGTGTGCAAACGCTTAAAACCCAATCGCCTTGCAAGCAAACGTGAAGTCCCGGACCCTCAATCCTGAAGCTGGCTTGGGGTAATCTCGGGGCCTTATAATTAGACTGCCAACCGCATAATCGTCAATATGTTTTCAAAACGTCATAGTACCACTATGTCAAAGATAGCAAAAGTACTAAAAGGATTCTTTGGCTTTGGTTGCAGCGCTGTTAGTGATGTTTGTGGTGTCACGGATTCTGGGTGTCCGTGATAGCTGCCGACAGAGACTCCACTAGCAGATTCAGGCAGGGCATCCTGACTTGTAATATCCACCCTGATGCAGGCAGCCCATATCATCCGAGCACGTTTGTTTGACTTTTGTATCGTACTGGCCACTGATGCCGTGGAAGGTCATCGCAACACTCACCTGTGATGCAGGAGTTTTGCCCTTAGTAGGACTAGCACGACTGCTAGTCACCGTGTTAGTTCTACTCATACCTCAACACCGTGAAGACGCAACCCTGTCCTGCTATCTGCTGCTCTCTTATGGTTGGTATGTGGGAGAGTCCGAAAATAGGGGGCCCTTATATAGTACCCTAAATAGAAGGATCCTCATTATAACAACCCCAAAATAAGGTACCCCTAGTTTTCGGAAACTCCCATGTATGCTTGCTGCGCTAAATCAGGATTGGGGACATCTTTGCGAAGGCGGCCGACGTGGATAGCCCCCTGGCTGGTGCCTACTTGGAGGATCATGGGACTTAGTAAGTAAGGTTATAAGTACCTTAATTGGGGTTAGAAGTTTAGTTACATTATAACCCTAGTCACTAAGTCCCATGATCCTTTAAGTAATCTAGGATCCTCAATGACGGGAGTAGGGTCTCGCAGTTTCGTTTACTCTATAGGACAATATTGCTATCGATTCCGACCCTTAGCCACCCCTCGCCCTCGAGTGTTTGAGTTTATGGGTTTTGGTGGTTGCAGCGCCTCCGCTGTCACGCCTCGGTGCTCTAAATCCCCCAAAAATTTGAATACCTAAAGCCAGCACCTGATGATTTTCATGATCACGATCGTGATCCGTTTGGTGCACATTTCTCGGACACAGCACGAAACATGCGATGACTAGGTCTGAGCTGGTACTTCAACTAGCACGTTCCAAGTCATGTGACGAACACATGGTTGGGATTTGGGATCTCCCTGGATATGAGAAGTTTGGCGATCTCCTTCCCAATAAAATGCACACAGTTCCGGGTTCAGCGTCTAGCCTTCAGTGTTGCGGGCTGGGTTCCTCGGCCTTCAGCCCTAAACCTCCCAACTCCAAACCCCAACCCTTGATCCCGGAAAGGTCACGTCAAATGAGTGTGAGGATGTTGATCTGGATTTGCGTTTGTTTTTTTCCGCTTCACGGGTAGAGCTGATCAGGTTGGTTCAAAGTCGGCATGTCGGAAAAGAAGCTTAAGATCAGTTTGGTCAGGTTCATCTGGAGATTTCGTAGAATTCACACGGGGTTTGAAGTTAATGATGCTGATAGCAATTATCCTATTCTTCAGCGTTTAGTTTGGCATATTTGTCTTCTGAAGCTGCCACCTGTCTCCCGCGGCTTTCCGTGGACCCCGTCTCCGAAAGAAACTAATTGAAGGCCCTGTTGTAGACACCCCCTAAAACCCTAAACCCTAAACTGTAGACCCCTGACCAAAAGACACCCCCTACTTTGAGACGGAGTTTTTCACTGGGAGCCTGCTACTTGTGGTCAATAATGACAGGGGAGCCTTAAACCCTAAACCCTAAGCCTACTACTTAAGGTCAGCAATGACAGGGGATTGTTAACCAGGGGTCTACATTAAAGTATCCCTGAAGCCCAGAACCTGAAGAGCTAGGGACTCAGTGTTTAGGGTACAGGGTTTCTGCTCCGAATTCTCATGGGTGTTTAGGGTTTGGAATACCAGGAAAGAAGCAAGGCAAGAAGAAAGAGATTGGCGGACCCACCAAAGAATTGGTCCGGCCCTTAGTCGGTGCAGTCCTTCGGGTTCAATTCAAGTTTTGGGGGTGTTCCCAAGGGGTTCCAGGTTAGATAGTCTGTTCTGAATTGCGATCAAGGGAACATCGCGCACGGCCATCTTGCACATGAGCATCGCTGCATGCACATCCAGACTCAATACAGACGCAAGTGCTTCTGACTGCTTCTGCAGTTCCATCTTGATCCCCTGTGGAGACGGCTTGCACTCGCAGGCCGCAGGTGTAAAGATGCATCAGTGCACACACGTACAACTGTTTGTATCTGTATGCGTGCATAGACGCAGTAGGTGACCGCATGCGCATGCATTGGTTACCGGTGAGTATGCGGTATCATAGAAAGCATCAAGGCGCCCACAAGACGAGCACCTGGCTACACGCATGCGATGGTGAGGTGCATGACAAAGGAGACCCCGACGATGATGATGAGGAGGAGCAGGAGTAGGATTACGAAAAGGAGGACAATGATCATGCTGATGGTAATGAGGATAACGATGACCACGACCGTCGTGATGATGGTGATGGCGAGTGTGAGGCTTACTATGTTGATGTAGTGCTGATAATACCGACGTCAGCTGCTCCGTCAGTGATTGCGACACCGAGGATACCAGCAGCATGCCACGCACCTTGTCAGTTTGTCAGGTTTCACACCCTCGCCTGAAACCATCTGCCGTGGAAGTGCAGCATTCTGCGCGCCAAAACCCTGCTTCAAACTCCTCAGCCACCCACTTGTCCTCGTGCCTTCACGCCCGCAAGCACTACAGATAAGGGTTACTATGGGGGTTACTATAAAGGTACTATACTACAGGGGCCCTAATAGGTCTCTGGATGCACTTGTAGACTGCTGAGGGTATCGGATATGCCATTACCATGAAAATGCCTACCTGACGCCCCTTATTCCCAAGTTACGAAGTCTTGTATGATCCTTCACGATCTCACTCTGAAGTTGAACCGTTCCATGAAAATGCCCACCTGACGCCCCTCAATCCTAAGTTACGAAGTCTTGTATGATCCTTCACGATCTCACTCTGAAGTTGAACCGTTTGAGGAACGCGCGCCTTGTTTGTGGAACACGAGATGATGTAGGTCGTTCTACTGCATACCGAAGGAGACTACCATACGGGAGTTTCCGAAAA